AAGGCAAAGACAGCTGTGCGTCTGTACTGCAAACTAAGACAACTGACTTATTTAACCACCTGAAAACCCTGAAACGATGCAGTGGTTACTAGTGTGAAACGCAGACAGCCATTAAAGCACAGCAGCACAGCGGTGCATCTATCTAACTCACAAAGTGCATTCAATTTGACCAAAGACATCTGTCCACTAAACACAGTGAGTAATGAAGACTTCAAGAAAATTGTCAATTTATTGGACAAAAGTGGGTTCTGGGTTCTGCAAAATGTCACACGAGGAAAAGAGATGGATCTCACTTGCTTCGAGCTTTATTCACATCCATCACGCACGTACAATAACTGGAGTGAAAGAGCTTATATCTTGCTTTAAGAGATTCACTTCCAGCAGATAAATTCATATTTGCCTGCAAAGATGTTTTATTTGCCCGGAATTTAGCATAAAGGCTTTAAATGTTGATTTAATTTTGTGTTCAACTTTGACAATTTTTCATTCTGATTTTTTATAAAAGAGCTGCAGTGAATTAGATAAATAAAAAGGGCCAACTTTGTTTTGCTTCAAAGATGTGTATATTATTAGGTATATGGATGTAAAGGCAGGGTTATTATTTACATTTTGTCACTAAAATCAATGAATAACTATTGTAAATAATTGCGATGTTATTGATTAAAATAAATGAGAATCATTTTGGCCATAATTGTGCAGCCCTGCTGTCGCCAATTTGCTTTTTCTTTTTTCTTTTTTCTTTGGGTTGGGAGCATCAGTCCTAATCGTCTCCCTGACTTTCCGTTAACTCACCAGTTCAGTTAACTTGCTTTGTCAGGTAAACGTGACCGAGCTGGTGTTTTTTGAACAGTTATTTAAAAATAATTGTTGGCATTTCTTTAGTCTATGTGGATGACTTCAGAAATCAAAAACAATTTGAATTCAAGTAGCAATTCTCAAAGATAAGCTAAGCTATGCTAAGCTATACTAAGCTAAGCTAAGCTAAGCTAATCTAAGATATACATTATTTTATTCATTCCTATGTTGCAGGAGCCAAAACATACAAAATAACTTGGCTAACTATAATAATTAAAATTCACAAAAAAGTAAATCTGTCAATAAATAAAATTAAACTACTGTATAGATATTATTTGTTTTAATATAATAAAATCTAAATGATTTAAATTTGGTTTCATAATTTAATCTATTTAAAATCCCCAAATCAATGTCAACAAATCAGTATTTAACAGTTATTTTAGTTTGGTTTCAATATTCAGGCTTTCTAATCAACAAACCAATACATATTTTTATACATATTGTATATTATCTGTGTTCTGCACATACAGACACAACAGGAGCCCAGCTGGCATTTTGACTTGGCAGCAGTTTGCTGGGTGCATTTTGTTCATGGAGTGCCATCTCCCCTCACTGATTATAATACACACAAAGGACTGAATACTGCTTCCCCAGGAATCCAGCCACCAGCAGGTTCTGTATTGTTTCCCCCCTCTCTGGATATCTTTTGTGAGGGGAAAAAACATATATTACAATAAAGGGAAATCTAATTTTAGCATAAAGCATTTGCATAACATTGCCTCATCTCACTCCTTTTAAAGGCATGTAACCTTTTGGACTGTGCTCAGTAAAAAAAGAAGCTGAAATACTGACTGTCCATCACTGTGTTACAGAAAGGTGGAAGGTGGCTATAATGATTGTTAAAGAGTAAAAAATGCATGTTGATTTTACATGCATGTGAAGTCCAGCATTGTCTGTTCTTTTTTTGCAACAAAGCAAAGACGCAGAAGCGACAGCATCAAACCCGCCACACCCAAAGCTCTTTAATGCCTCCCTCGGGATTTAAACACCTCCTCAAACATTTGCATGGCTTCTAAAGCCGATAGAGATAAATACTCAAGGTCTTTAAAAGATGGCGCTTAATGCAAAAGGGAGCAGCGTCGGGACGTCAGCACATCTTGCGACGCCTCGTGAGAGGACACTTGATTGAGCGCATCTGCTGCGAGTGGCCTAACAAACTTGATTTCTTCTTGCTGGTGACATATTGAAATGGCGTGTTTTGCAGGCTGCTCTCCGCGCCTGACACGGCCCACTTACACACTCATCAGCAAGACCTGCCCCACTCTGCGCTCTCAGCTGCTTTGTTCCAGCTGATGTCATCTAAACCTCGTCCCTGCAGGGTTGTCTGGGGTAGATAAGACATTCCCTCCCTCTCCACTGGTCTCCCACACAAAAAAAACACACACACATACAAAAAAAACGGGGCTGCTGCTATGAAGATGGATTGCCCAGCTGGTGACACTAGTTCCCTTTCTGCTGAAGCCACTGTGGAGCACTAACGCAATTAAAGCAATTAATCTTCAACAAAAGGGGTTCACGGCTACCTCTCGTGATTTTGCATGTTTCTGTATAGGTGCGTAACATAAAGGGGGGGTGTAAAAGGAAGCAGCATAGCAGTCGTGCTTATCACACAACTGATGTGTGATATCAGGATGCGATCGGCTTTCATCAAAGTCGCATCATTTTCACAACAAGCAGCACGATAAGAATAAATACTGTAGTCGACCTACAGGCAGAGAGGCTAGCGCGCAGCCGCTTAAAAAGGCAACTTCTCCGACGACTGCCACAGCAGATGCTTAACATTTTATACTGTGCGCCCTGTAACGCAGAAGTGTGTGGTTACGTGTGCGCGTGTGTTGCAGTCACAGATGAGAGTCTGGTGTGTGTTGTCATGCTCCACAAACAGTTACTCTACTTCCTAGTTGTCTTTAAAGTCTGCTATCGTGGCAAAAGAATTAAAATCTAAAAAGATTCCTTTTAATGTAATACAGCTGGGACTGTCTCAATTTTAATTTCAAATCTGTGCTTCTTTTCCGTTTCATTCTGGAACAGCGGCACAGGTGGTCTCAGCCAAATATCATTTATTTAGTGCGAGTAAAAGCATTAAAACACATTAGCGAGCATCAAACAGATTTTCAAACTACCAGAACAAAGACAGCGTTAAAGAAATCCATCTACTAAATGTCCATTAGTCTAATACTCACTGCTGCACTGAAGAACTAAAGTAAATCTATCTTTCTGCTGCAGCTTCGCCCACAACAAACGTCTAATTTCAATTATTCAGGAGTTGTTGTGTGATTATATTTGAATGATTCAAATCTCGAGTCATTTGTTATTTATCTCAGCAGTTGGTCACTGAGTGAGTACAGTCGGCAGTAAGTGAGAAGAGTGAAGGGCAAGTGCGTGCAGTGATGGAACTTCAGGGAAACAAAGAAAATTTGAGCTCTGCCGCTTTATTCGTCGCTTCATTCGCAGCAACGTCGATTCATGTCAAACAATCCAAAGTATGATTTCCAAACAACAGGATCAAAGTGTGCTGTGAGGTTGAAGTTTGTTATGGAAGTGGCACAGGGCAAGTGAAGGGCACCAGCAGCGAAACCACTATGCAAATTCCCCGCCACTTTGTTTGACAAGCAACAACACTGCTTTGTATATATGCAAAGCCTGGCAAGACACTCTGCACACAGCCCTGCTGTCAGAGCCGGGTCATGCTAGAACGGTGACACCCAATGGGCGACCCCTGTCTCCGAGCGAGGTTACTGGGCCAGACTTCACGCTGGACTCAGACAGACGCGCACAAGACCGACAGAGTTACCACGTGTGGCACGCGTGACATTTCAGGGGTCAAACGTGGCTGGACGCTGAGATCGTTCCTCATTGCTCAGAAACCCGACAGAACTCGAATGATTTGATTTCTGGAGCCGTTCTCGTCCCGCTGAGGTGAAAAGTACTTGATTAGCACGTTGAAATTTACTCAGCAGCCGGTCTATTCGGCCGCCACTAAAAAGCTGGAGATAAAACACGGCAAACCCCATTAACCATTACTCAGCTCAGCTTCAAGCTGTTTTTATTCTTAGCCACATCTAAGGAGTGCATCAAAATCTCTCCATGGAAGTACGACCTCAAAATAAGCCTCAGAGATTGAAGCATTGTGGTGCACGCTGACACTGTTCTTTTGAATTCCTAAAAAACCAAATAAATCAGTTTCTTTTGTGATTTCAGGCCTCGACAGACATACAAAACATGCGCTAATTTAACACTACGTTACAGTTTGCAAGCCAAACGGTATACTCATTCATCCTCATGACAGGTCTGATAAAGCACAGTATAGTGGTCACTTTAAGGTTTCCTGCATCTTTAGTTGGTCAGTGCTGTGATTGATTTGTCAACATATCTTTGATGTTTTATATATAAATGCAAGCTCGAGAACTAGGTCATCAGTGATGATCTGACCTTTATCCCTAGCTCTAACCCTTTGCTACCAGAATAAGTAATTTTCGGTTTTCTTTTAAGGTGTTCTCCAAGTCTTGGCAGTCATCAGTGATGGTGGCCAAACAGTTTACAAGTGCACATATAGGAAGTGGCTATCAGTGACGAGACAATCAGAAATCATGGAATATCAACAGATTTCTGTGGCTAATCACAAAGACGGGAAAAACTATGTTATTGACACATAGTGGGCAGGTACTGTTAAAGTAATCTTACTGTTGAGTTAATTAGATTTGAAGTTTAGAGTTCTGTCTGAATCAGGTGATGCTGCGTGTTTACCTTACAAATATATAAATATAAAGTGCCCGAGGTGACTGTTGTGATTAGGCGGTGTATGTATAAAATTGAATTGAATCGAACTTTATGGTTATTGGTTAAATAGTACACAGGAAGTTGCCTTTGCCAAGTCAAACAGGCATTTAAAATGTGCTAATGCGCCAGCGATTTACATTTTCTGTTATTAAAATGTGTGCATCTCGTCATTCACGGCAACCAGCTGCACAACACACTGCTGTTGGAGGCTTTTACAGCGATATGCTTAAATGAGAACCAGATGAGAGGTGTGGAAGGGGGCGAGTGTTGTTTAGACGTGTCTGTCTTTGTGTCTCAGAGCAATAAGAGCACATGCAAAAAGCACAGCAGTTCTCATGTCGTGGTAAAAGCAAATATTGCGCTACCTGTCGGTCTCTCGCAGTGGTTCGCTGCCCTTCCGCCAAGAGATCACACCCCAAGGAGACATCTTGGGCTTGCACTCGACGAGCGCGTCTCCTCCTACCTTCACCAGCGTCTGGCTCCTCAGTTGATTGTGAGAAAAATCTGGGGCAACAGCTGAGACAAGAGCAGCATGTTAAAGCCAGTATTTGTAAAAGCCTCACACTTTCTTCTCCTTCCTACAATTTATCTCTGATCGTTTATTTCATTTTAAATGTGGGGCTCAACAGTTTTTCACCATTACATTACAAATACATTGAATTATTGCTGCGGGTAAATCAATGACAGTGGATTACAGATCTTTATAATGCGAATAATTAGTAATCAGAACGCTGAATAGTAATGCCCACAGCTGATGGGTTGAAGAGATTGATAACAGGCTTGCATGTGCTGTCTGATCACTCTCATAACAACTCGCCTGCGCTAAAACTCGCTTTAAAAAAATCGTGTGCTGTCCGATAACCTCCCCGACATCCTCTTTTTTTCTCCCCATTGACCAGTAAAATCAGGTGTATTGAGCCCGAGCCCAATCGGCTACACGATCAGGATGAGACGCGCTGGAGGTTGAATGGCGAATGAGGGCGGCTGCCGACAAAGAGCGAAGAGTGACGGGCTTGACAGCGCAGATGGGCGAGGCTGGTGAACAAAGCAGCTCCGAGCATACATCACTGTCAGCAGGACGCATTCATCTTATAATTAATGCTTTTCAATTAGTGGCCAATAAGAGGGAGGCCAGAGGTCATCTGAAGAGGGAGCAAACTTGAAAACAAACACTCTTGCGCACACATCTCAAGCAGGGATGCGCACTTGCCAGAGTGGGTGTGTGCATCCCTGCACACTCTGTAAACCGGGGCGGGGTCTTACCTATAACTCGCAGCTCTGCATTGGAGTAGACCTCCCCGTGCTTATTGCCGGCCACACACTGATACATGCCGGTGTCAGTCAGGGTCAGGCGACTGATTGACAACACCCCGCTGGCGACCTGTATGCGTTCCTACGGACAAACAGACATGTGCCTTTAATATGCTTTACTCCCATGGCTCATCTACATAAACACAGGCAGCCAGCGGCCCAGTGAATTATGGTCTGGAAGTGACAGACGTGGCAATAAATCTAGGTTTTCATCACTAATGGAGGCAAAGGCTTGGGTGGATGGAGGCAGGCTAGCGGAAAATGACCCTAATCAATCTACATGTTTATGAGAGTGAAATAAAACCATGCTCTATTTATATCTCTGACTGCACCACAGGGCCCGTTTCCCCTTCAGCAGAAAGAGGGGATAAGAGGGGAAGGAGTATCGAGACATCTGAGGTATACAGCGCTGTGAAAATTGCTTTCCAGATAGGTATGCCCTGTACATACTAAGTGCTGTGTACATGGTCACGCTGTACCACCGCTTCATCTGTTTGGACTATTTGCCCGCCTACGGGGGGAAAATCTTGCTCGTCACTGAGCCATCAAATTAAAATCTATTTAAGGACGGCTAGGCCCGATGAACTAAAAACTCGGCTGGATCAGTGAATCAGTCGGACATTTAATCCCCAGTATACATTTATCTCCCTGAACTCGAGTTTTCGCACCGCTCCTTCACTACAGTATTAAATCCTTGAGCAGTTTTCATACATCTCTATGCAGCTGTGTCAGGTTTTTCGCCTCCCCCGTGTCCCTACGTCTGCTGCGTTCTCCTCCGGCTTCACCCATAATGTCATCAGAGCCTATTTCCATAGGGTTTTTTTTTTTTTTTGGAGCGGCCTGTGCTCCAGTTGCCGGGGATTAAGGTACTGTGACATGAAAAGAGAGACCGTCCTCGTCGAAAGATCACAAACGAATCCTGTGTTTGAGCAGGTTGCGCCTGAATTTCCATACCGCTCAGGCACCTCCGGATGTGCAGGGGCGAACATCCCTGCTGGCGAAGGAGGCGAATGCTGGCGTGTATCAGTCTGTGCATGGAAAGCATTCCCATTTATGGCAGCTATTAATTAACCATGACATTCCTCTCAAATCAGCAGTTTTTCATGCAGGGACCTGGGGGGGACCATCTGTACGCCTTATGCTGAAGTAAAATGATTGGCAATGTCATTTGCCAACAACTCTGGTGTGATTTTCGTGATAGAACAAACAAACAAGACAAAACAAAACAAAAACTCAAAAAATATGAATAAATTGTAAAAGTGAGCTTTTCTGGGGGGGGTTAGGATTACTATTACTAGTCATTGTAAGAATGACGCAAAATGCCTGTGACACTTCCACAGGCTACATTTCATATGATATTATCAGAACTTCAATCTACTCATTTGCATTCCAGAACAAAAGGGTGGGGGGTCTTTCATTCTCTTATACTCTAATCTTTCAAGTTTGATCTTTGTTGACCAGAGATGAGCAGTAACGCGTTACTTGTTCAACTGACCGCTGCGGCTCACCTGCACCAGGGTAAACCTCCGCCTACCCCACTCCTGCTTTACAGGTGAAAATAGAGCAACAGGACCGCTAGTCTTTGATTTTATTTATTTTCTGCTGTGTTTTACTTGCATCTATTTGAAAGAGTGTAAACACAAAAATATTTTATTTTATGTGCTGGAATGTGCAGAAAATCGGTTTAAATGTTAAACAAATTTCTTCCAGTCAGAGAATGTTGCATATAATTACATTTTTGCTTGATGCATAAAAAAAAAAAAGAGATTAAAACTGATAAAACAAGTTTTAAAAAGAGACGTTTCCATTTGATTACATTTTGTATGATGGATTATGTAGAAAAAGTAGAATTGGGCTGAAACATCTATCGCTTTATTACCTATTCAGGTTGTAAATCGTGTTTTTAACTAAGTAACTAATTAATTTTGAAAATAAGTAATCAGTAAAGTAACGGGATTACTTTTTTGGGAAGTAATCAGTAATTAGTTACTGATTACTTTTTTCAAGTAACTTGACCAACACTGTTGTTGACTAAGAAAAAGGGTTCAAACAAAAAGAAATTATTAGTGCTCACTGGAGGAGAAATGTTGAAGAAATCTGCTCATTCTACTCATAGATGTTTGATTCATTTAATGTGCCTGAGCAGGACAGAAGTAGCAGACGTGAACTAAGCTCAACAGTGGCTTTATAATAACAAGAACAAAACTTGAGGCGAAGCCTGTTTGCTCCACTTGAGCTTGAACGAACATGGAAAACAAGGAATTTCAACCATCTCTCTGATCCTTTTAAGTATTAAACCACACTTAAAGCAACATTATTTGAAGCCTTTTGGATAAGAGTCCTAAGAGAGCAGGGAAACCTAAATTCAAGTGCAGAGCAGTAAGCTATGAGTACGGTGGTCCTTTAAATGGACTAAATCCTGTTTCACGGTGGAGTTTCCTTTTAATTGCAGCGCTACTTAATCCTGCAGCCATTGTCAATAAAGCAGCAGAGAGTGAGGTCCTTCAGATGAAAATGCCACAAGAAAAGAAACATAGCTTTTCTGACACAGGTAATAAAAGCAATCCTGAGAAAAACTGAACACAAAAGCTTGTTCGCTGTGGGTCCATAATAAAAAATCTCAAAAGTATGTAAAAACCCATTAAAGCGTCGCTACAGAGCTCAGCAATGACGTCCGCTTTTTCAACGGCTCTGGTTCCAGGAATGAAATTCGCACTTATTTGTCTACGGATATTTCAGAAAATTATACACAAATGATGCTGGAGATTATGTGGAGACTGTACGCCAATCATTCTCATGTGTTTTGTAAGTGTAAAAATATCAAACCTTACTGGGAAAGCATTGCAGTAACAATGAAGAAAGTGCTGGGGTATGACGTGCCGTGTGAGGCATGAGTAATATATTTTGGAATATGGGAAAATGTAACAATGGAGGACCATTACTTGTTTAAAATTATGTTGTTGTCAAGCAAAAAGGTAATAACAAAAAACAGGCTGAAAAGTGACCCTTTAAAACTGGAAGAATGGACTGATGTCATCGAGGACATATATATAATGGAGAAAATGACCTACACTTTGAGACTGAAATCTGACAAAGACCGAAAACAGTAGACAAAATGGATAGCCTATAAGACTCAGCCCCATAAGGCAGGGACCTCTCCTCGTTGTTTATTTTATTTTTTAATTTTTTTAATATTTTTTTTAAGTGTCCTTTATTCCTTTTAGTTTGTTTCTTTTGTGTTCCTTTTCATATTTTTGTTTGCATGTACTATAAATTTGGAAAAAGTACAAAATATAAAGTAAAAAAAAAATTATTTCAACTTTTATAATGCAAATTTACAGTACTGTGCAAATGTTTTAGGCAAGTGTGGAAAAATGCTGTCAGCAAAAAAAAGCTTTCACAAATATAAATGATTGTTTATTGGCCCCGAATGTATTCTGCAGCAGGACAACGACCCCAAACACACAGCCAAAGCGCAAAGAAGAACTGGAAGTACTGGAAGTGATGGTACGGCCCCCACGGAGCCCTAATGTCAACATCATCGAGTGCGTCTGGGATTACATGAAGAGACAGAAGGCTGTGAGGAAGCCTACTTAGTTCTTCAAGATGTTTGGAACAACCTACCAGCCGAGGTCCTTCAAAAACTGTGTGCAAGTTTACCAAGAAGAAGGCAAAGGGTGGTCACACCAAATACTGTTTTTATTTTTTGTCTTTTGTTCATTCACTGCATTTTGTTGATTGATGAAAATCAATTATTAACACTTCCATTTGTGAAAGCATTCTTTGTTTACAGCATATTTTCTCACCTGCCTAGAACCTTTGCACAGTACTGTGCTCTGTTGTCCAAGGAGGTATAATTAAGTCCAGTGTCCAACATTCATGGAGAAAAGGGATTCATGAGAAGAGTAAGAATTTAACTATAAACCTGCTGAAATCCAAAGAAATAATATAGAATGTTCTGGATAAAGTTTTTTTTAAACAAAAACACATGAAGTACAGTCCTGCTATGACTCTGATGACAAATGAAGGTAAAAACCCCCAATACTAGTCTGTTTTTGGAAGGTTAATGACATCATTATCTGCCACTCCACAGCCGCCTACAAAAGTATGATTATGTTAGTCTTTAGTTTTTAGGAGAGGGTAAGTTTGCTTTTTTAAATAAAAGTCAAGTGCTGAGTTGAGAAAAGAACCACCTAAGGTATGAGGAAGACTCCAGAAACTGTTCCTACTTCATCCAAGAACGTGCTAATGCTAAAGCTGGAGAGGGCTAGAATGGCAGCTGAATGATTGTTCATGTGTATTAAAACAGGGGCACAGCACTGCAGTACACTGAAAGCATGTGAGCTTAGTGGACGGTCCATATGTCATCATTTAACAAGTAAATGTAGCGCACATATAATTGTGCGCTACATTTTGACCCCTCCAGGAACCGACATAGTCAAAAAATGACTTTTACGTTGCTCTTTTTTATGCTCAAAGTTCATCAGAAGTTACTTTCAGTGAACTGCTCAGTCAGAAGAGCTGCAATTGATTCATCGTTAATAAATAACAACAAACGGCGGCTCCTCTCCCCACCGCTTCTTACATCACTGACCTTTCCCTCTTCCACTCATTAAGCCACTGCGGTTAATGGTGGCATTTCAAACAATGCAACACCTTTGCTGATTAATCCATTCACCCATGCGTTTGGAATGTATCCATTAATTATGTGTATGTTAAGAAGAATTGTGCAGCACAAACATCAGTGCCATCACTCTAACCTTTAATCATGCACTTACTGCCCCGTATCCAGAGGGTGATGAACTGTGCGTGTAGTTTTCCTCCGTTTTTGAAGCGATCTTTAGAAATTTAATCTATAACCCAAATTCCTAAAAAGTAAGCACACTGTGTAAAATGTGCAAATCTCACAAATCTGTTTTAATTAAAAAATAAGGTCATATTAGTGACATCGTGTTTATCACTGTGTAGCTTCCCCTCTTCCTGTAGCAACAGTTCGCACACATCTAACAACTGAGGAGACTAGTTGCTGGACTTTTGAGGCAGAAATGTTTTCCTGCACTTGTCTTTTATAGGAGTCTAGCTGCTCGGCAGCCTCGTGTCGTCTTTGTTTCTTTAGTTTTTTCATATTTTCAGTTAGTGAAAGGTCTGGACGGCAGGCCACTTCGGCACACAGATCCTGAATAGATGGAGTATGTAGTTTAGCATCGTCTTGCCGAATTATGCAAGGCCTCTGCTGAAAAACACATCATGTGGATTTGAGCATATGTTGCCTTTTCAGTTGTGCAAGTTGCCAATTCCAAAAACACCGATGCACTCATACCATCAGAGATGCTTTTGAACTCTTCTTTAGTCCAGAGGATGTGGCGTCCACGTTTCCAGAAATGTTCTCTTTGATTTGTCCCACCACGGAACAGTTTTCCACTTTTCTTGTGTTCAAACCGTGTTTCCTAGATTCATTCCTGGATTCAGTAAGTTTAGAGAAAGAGAAGACTGCAACATTCCTGATTTTGTAGCGTCTTTTTTGCTTGATAGAGCAGATTAACCTGCATTTGAGGATGGCACTGTAAACTGTGGTCACAGACAGCGGTTTCTGGAAGTGTTTCGGAGCCTGTGCGGTGATCTCCATGCCAGGATCGTGCATGTTTTTGATGCAACGCCACGGGAGAAGATTATGGGCCTTGAATATTGAGTTTCTGCTTTGTACCTTGTTCTCCAGACTCTCACAATCTTTTGATGATATTATGTACTGTAAATAATAAGATATTCAAACAGTTTTACAATTTTGCAGATTGCTGAACCTCTGCTCATTTTTACTTGAGCAAAAAACTCTGTCTATGCCCAATAATATTATCAACCCTTAGTCGCTCATTGTGAACAAAATCTGGGTTTATTTACATTTGTTGGAATTGTCATTGCACCTCCAGTAAACAGAGAAAGAAGCAGTAAGGTCACAGGGAGTCAAACGGGATCAATCAAATGCTTTGTTGTTTACTGTTTTTAAGAAACTGCCAAATAAGAAAAACAATAACATGATTACTCTCACACACCGAAAACACAAGAGCCTTACCTCATAAGAGGTGCTGATAAAAGCGTTTGCCATTGGCTAAACAGGTTGTTGATTACTCTCCCCTGATGGCAAGCCAAATCAGTTTTTTTATATGAAAAAGCCTGTGCTGTGTGGAGTACTGCCTCCAGTAATAACAACACACAGAGTTCATTTCAACCACATGTATAACATTCAAGTACTGATCGATATCCTCTGGTGTGTTTGTCGCCTTTCTTGCATAATGAAGCAAATTAACATAATGCCTGTTTATTTATCAGGTGCACGCTGTGCCTGAATGTCCAATCGTTATTTTCCAAACAACCTGACTAAATGATCTGATATCATAATCCAACATAAATAACAAATACAGGGGATCATATTTTTGCAAATGTCAACAGCAGAGTTCAGTTAAAGTTAGGTGTGGAAGTAGGCTGGTCCTAATAGACTCATCTCTCATCACCGGACTCATAATGGGGAGTCGGAGGGGGGCGGCGAGCTAAAATGAAAGTAGGATATACAATGTTTGTATAGAGAATCTTGTATTTTTCTTCTTTGGTGGCACAGGATTAATAACCGCGCTCGGCGTGGAGAGATTTAGCAGAAGATTAGGGTGGCTCTTACATCACTGTACTTGGCCTGCTTACAGTTTCGTCTCTCAGCACAGCAGACACAGTTTAATTCCTTTGAAATAAATGCTGTTTTGCAGAAGTGAGTAACATAAACTGAACAGGAGGCACTGTGTTGTAATGAAGAAGAATATAATGCAAGGTAATTAGTCAGTAAAGCTTGAACAAGCAGCGCAATAAAGCTCTGAAAGTACAGTACATGGCTGCTCCAATCCTTCATTCGGCAGCGCGGAGTGTTTGAGAAACATCTGTCGCGAAGCTGCCGAAGAAGGTCTAGCCCTTTTCTTCAGTTCTAAAAACACGCAGGTCGCCGGGAGCTCTCACCTCTGTAGACTCCAGGTTTTCCCCGTTCTTCATCCACCTGTATGAAGGCTTGGGCTTCCCGGTGGCTTTGCACTCCCACGCCAGCGAGTCGTCGATGAGCTTCTGGACATCTTGGGGCGTCTCGATGAGGTGAGGAGGAGCTGGAAAGAGCGGAAATACGAGGCAATTAGAGTGAACACTCTTTTTTTCAATTCACAAATCTGATGTTCTCAAAACACCTCATACATGCAGCAAAACACTATGGTTAACCCACAAAAGTACCGTGCACAAAAGATGTCATATCAGTGCTTAAGTTGGTGCTACCGAAATAAAACGTTTCTTTCAGACAGCGTGATCCAAAGCCATCAACATGTTTGGATGTTTTGTGGATTCCTGAAGTGTTACACTTATCTTGTCATTTCCTTGTCATTGACAGTGAATGCCTGCTGATGAGGAAATTTACACAGTACCTGAAATAAACATGCATGTGTAGTACACTTTCACTGGACTGGTCTTCTATAGGACTTTCCTACTCAAGTACTCAAAGCACTGTACACAACATGTCTCATTCACACAAGCACCTATTTTTCTGCATCTAAGTGCATGCTATTGCACCTAACATTCACACACATTCATGCTCCAAAGAACCAGGGACAACTCATGCTTGCTTTGGCATACAGACTCGAGAAGACAGGGATTGAACCACCAACCTTCTGATTAGTCTGACATTTAGTCAAATACACTCATCAGCCTCACACGTCACACCCTTCTTCCAACGCAACAGGGGAAGAACTACAGTAGACAACCATCATACCATCCATCCATCCATTTTTCTCCTCTGCATCTTCTATATCCATGACCCACACATACGGGCGTGGGAGATTTTCACAATTAGAAGCACTATTACAAGTGCAGTGATTTACACAATGAAATAATGCAAGCATAATGAGCAGAACTCCTTAAGTTTATCTGTTTTGATCGCGCAGACACATACAACCAATCTTTGTCCAAAGTGCAGACAGCCGCACTTTGTTATTTGCCCTAATTTTCTAACACATTTGTAAATGCTAAGAACGAATGAGAAATGATCTTTCTAATGTGCAGAAGTAAAGTCTTGAAGGATGTCATATTCTAACGACTGAAAATTGAACTGTAATATATGGAGGCAAGAAAAGGTTGCACTCTCTCTCTGCTGTTTGGGGGCATAATGCAGCTTTCGAGGAAGACTGCAGACCCTTTAACCCAGTTGTTATTTGCATTATTTATACTGGAACTGTGTAATAGACTGCAGAACATCAATCACAAAGTGCAGTGAATGACAGTGCTCATCATTTTAAAACTGAATAATGAATCAGTTCAGTCATTTATTATAAAAACAAATAGAACATGCATTTATGTCAGAAACCAAAGGTTGTTAATAAGCTGTTAAATCCAGTAAAAGGAGTGGTTTAGTAGTGTGGTTGTTGTGTGCTTTTATTCAATTCTAGTTACAAATTTTCTTCCCACTTGTAGCAACACTTGTATTTTGAATTTCACACGATCCTGTGAATAAGAAAGATTTCACAGGACTCTAAGCAGTCCTGTGAAAAACTAACATCCCCGTCATTCTGCAGCGTGCAGAAGCACATTTATCAGCACTAACATGAAGTAATCCTTTACTTTATCAGTCTCTCACATATTTGCACTTTTGGCTCGTCTTTACAAAGTTGCTTCAGCTCATCGAGGTTTGTGGGCATTCACATATGCACGGCTCTCTTAAGGTCCAAACGCAAAGTTTCAATCAGGCTTTTCACAGAACTGCACAGGGTCTTATGAAAACCTTCTGCCCAGTAGACCACCAGATATAGTCAGACCAACCTGCCTGGCACCAACAAGCACACCATGTTCACTCAAAAAAATCTCCTTTCCTTCATCTCTACATGCCATAATGCAGTGAGCTGCTGCCATGTGACCGACTCATCAATGAGTACTTGAACAGCTGTACCTAATGAAGTGGCCAGTGAGCATGTGCATTATATATATATA